GTAGGACATCATATGTTTTCCTAGAGTTTCAGTGGTTATACCGGGCAGGGGCGGACTGACAACTCATGGGGCCCCCGGGCAATAGAGGATCATGGGGCCCCTGTGTTCTCGCCCATACCCAAAAAAGCCTATGAAAAAGCCAATGAAAGGTACCATGGGCATCTCATGGGGCCCCCTACTGACCCCGGGCCCTCGGGCAGTGCCCGAGTGTTCGAATGGTCAGTCCGCCCCTGATACCAGGATGATGCCTGCAGCTGCAAGCATCATCCCAGGATCAACATTTTTTGCCCTTTGATGTAAAAGTGATCCTAGAAGCTAAAAAGACACTGGATCGCTTTTCTTGGTTTGATCTTAAGCTTTTAAGGGAAGAGTAGGGATAGACCCCAGATGTCTCAGTAAGGAGGACCTGTCACTGCTCCAGCTATCAAATGTGAAGTTCAAGTAATCAAAGTGATAAAAAAAAAAATTAAAGAGTTTAAAAAAGAAATAAAATAACAATAACAATAAAAGAATCGAATAGAAAAAACAATAGCATAGAATACAATATAAAAGAAAATGTATCAAAACAAAAGCGCTGCGCTATATGAAAAAATATACAAATGTATCCACCTAAAAAATGAAAAACAATCAGTGAATAAAAGTGAAATGTAATATGATACAGTAGCATAGTTTGCATCCCCTGGCAGAAATTGTGAAATTTTGGCATTGATATTAAAAATATGACTGATCATGGCAAAAAAAATGCTCTTTTATTGAAGGATGATGATCATATGAAGCCATTTATTATCACATAGTTGTTTGGCTCCTTTTTAAATCATAATGATAACAAAAATCACCCAAATGGCCCGGATCAGAAGTCTCCGCCCCCTGATCAGAAGTCTCCGCCCCCTGGAATGTTTGGCCTTGGTACAGACACACAAGGGGACACACACAGGTTACAATACCAATTAGAGGTTAATGTCCCACATCTGTGGCTTTGTAAATAGTCAGCGAGTGTGTTAGCTCTTACATGGACCTACTTATATGCTCTACATATTTTTTGGCCTTCACGAAGATGTCTATAGTACGTGACGATATATCAGCACACTTTTATATTTTTTGGTCAACTGTACTACTTGTTATTTGTATGGTTTCCCAGAATCGGAGACAGCATTCTCCAACCTGGACAAAGTCCAGAGAGAGGTCCAGGCTGTACTGTCGGAGAAGGCCACCCTGAGCTGTGAGGTGTCCCAGGAGAAGATGGAGGTGAAGTGGTACAAAGATGGGAAGATGATCACCTCCAGCAAGAAACTAAGGATAGAGTCTGAAGGTAGATCTCGGCGTCTGGTGGTGGAGCAGGTGGAGAAGAAAGATGCCGGAGAATATACTTGTGAGGCTGCTGGACAGAAGATCAACTTCAAGATCAGCGTCAAAGGTTGGTGGTCGTTCAGAAATGAAAACTAGAGTAATGTTGGTGTAGGACATTTTCTCCATGGCTACCAAGAGGCTCAATTCGCATAATTAAAATACTAGGATAAGGATCCTTTTTCTAAAACAGTGACGGCTATTTTTAGCTGAGCCCAATGAAATTTTAAAGTTAGTATTTTTTTTCCTCTAAAGGAAGTTGAGTTGCAAGAAATATGTTGAAATTATTTTTTAAAAAAAATGGAACCTTTTGTTTAAGTCAGCTAAATCTGTTCTGAATGCATCAAAACAAAATGTGTGCACAGCCATGCAGTTGGTTTTCTTTGGAAAGAAGCCACAGCCTGAGTAGAATAGCCTGTCCCCTGCCCGCATGCTGCATAGAAGGACCCTTTTACCCTTACGCGGAAGTAGTCAAAGTTCTGGCACGCCCTTTGCTGGGGGAGCATGAACTTTACTGATTGCAGAGTTCTAGCTTTCCCACATGGAAGGAAAATATATTTGAAATATTTTTAAAAAATATTCTTCCCAAATATATTGACATATATTTGAAATGCTACAATCTTGGCCAAATTCAATATATTTCAAAATATATTTATATATATATATATATATATATATATATATATATATATATATACATATACACTGCATGTTGAAATGCGTTTTTATATATTACAAAATATCTGAAAATTGTTTTTTAAAAATATATATTGACATATATTTGAAATGCTAAAATTTTGGCCAAAATCAATATATTTCAAAATATATATTATATATATATATATATATATATATATATATATATATACACTGCATGTTGAAATGCGTTTTTATATATTACAAATTATATAGAAAATGTTTTTTAAAAATATATTTTCTTCCCAAATATATTGACGTATATTTGAAATGCTACAATTTTGCCCAAATTCAATATATTTCAAAATTTATTTATATATATATATATATATATATATATATATATATTTTTTTTTTTTTTTGAATATGGAGAAAATTGTAGCATTTCAAATGTATGACAATATATATGCGAAAAATATTTTTAAAATATATTTCAAGTATATTTTTCATCCATGTGGGCTGACGCAGCAGGGAGAGTGCCAGAGATCTGCAGAGAGCCCGCTGCTTCCACACAGAGAGCATTAGTCCGGTTTTGCAGCATGCTGGCAGGGGAAAGGCTTCTCAACCCAGGCTGTAGATGCTTTCTAAAAAAAAAACAGACTGTAAAACTTTGCATACCTTTTTTGTTTTGTTGCACTTTGATTGCTTTTTTAGCTAATTCAGATTAAAATTTAAGTTGGGCTTTACAATTTATATTTACAAAAAATAGTGAAGCGCTTAATAAATAAACATATATAACTATATATATTAAAGTGCCATCAGTGAATATACGTGCTACGTGTTAATAATTCCTTATTAAATGCTGGAGCATTTACAACCAAAATTATATTTAAAGTAATTAAACAAACCAAACTGAATTCCTAATTTATCAGTGATAATAAAACACACCAGTGACAAATAATCTTATGACTCCAAGGGGTTCCTTAGTCTCCTTCACTGTTTTAAATGAAAAGTGCAATAATTAAAAGTGAACAAGTGTATACAAATAAACTTTTTTTTTAAAAGTGCATATACAGAACATATATATATGTATAAATCATATATCATATATATATAAAAAAATAAAAAAGTCCATGCAAGTGTAGCTTGTGATAGAACAGTGATCTTCACTTCTAGTGCTCAAACACAAATCCTCAAATGGCAGCAGTGCCTGCTCACCTCCCCGCACTGACCCTCAAGGAGCCAAAAGGCTACTGATCTCCTCTATGGCCAAACTTTCTCCTCCTCCTCTCGGTAGCTCAGCAGGTGATCACAGGGTCTCCACTTCTCCTCCACTCATATATCATATAGGACACAAAACAGAGCTTCCCATAGTGTAATATTGTTTAATGCAAGCCACTTCTAATTACATATCGGTTGTACTCACATTGGATTTCCTGTTACAAAAGCCTTCCACCTCATCCCATAGGTGTCACCTGCTGAGCTACCGAGAGGAGGAGGAGAAAGTTTGGCCATAGAGGAGATCAGTAGCCTTTTGGCTCCTTGAGGGTCAGTGTGGGGAGGTGAGCAGGCACTGCTGCCATTTGAGGATTTGTGTTTGAGCACTAGAAGTGAAGATCACTGTTCTATCACAAGCTACACTTGCATGGACTTTTTTTTATTTATTTATATATATATGATATATGATTTATACATATATATATGTTCTGTATATGCACTTTTAAAAAAAAGTTTATTTGTATACACTTGTTCACTTTTAATTATTGCACTTTTCATTTAAAACAGTGAAGGAGACTAAGGAACCCCTTGGAGTCATAAGATTATTTGTCACTGGTGTGTTTATTATCACTGATAAATTAGGAATTCAGTTTGGTTTGTTTAATTACTTTAAATATAATTTTGGTTGTAAATGCTCCAGCATTTAATAAGGAATTATTAACACGTAGCACGTATATTCACTGATGGCACTTTAATATATATAGTTTATATATGTTTATTTATTAAGCGCTTCACTATTTTTTGTACATATTTGGTTACTTAATGGTTAAGGTAGAGTGACAGCAGCTGTTGAGATAGGGACCTTGCCTGTATTGAGTGCAGGAGGATACTTGTAATACAATTTATATTTATGTCCCTTCTGGTCAGGCTTGTATTCCCATTCTGTTCTCTTTGATACCTGTCACCAGGAAAAGAAAGTGAGGAGAAGTCTCCCCAACACTGAGTGCAATAAAAATCTGACAGAGGGTCTAACCCTTCCTTACTCCGAAACGAAAGAAGTCTTAGCTAGCTTTTAAATGGAGAAACTAATAAAGGATCTAGAGCAGCCTTATTCAACCAGGGTGCCCAGGCACCCCCGGGTGCCTTGAGGTTCCTTCAGGGGTACCTTGGCAAAATGTCTACAAATTGCCCAAAACTTGTATACAAGCCTGCCTTTTAGTTACACAAAGCCACGGGGTTTCATTGTCCGCCATTACGGCGTCCTGACAATCAATTACATCATCAGTTGATAGGGAGGATGTCAGCTGCCTGCACAGCATTCAGGTTTGACCTTCTGTCCCTCTCCATCAGTGTTGGGGGTCACATTAGCTCAGTGATGGATAAAAACTGAGGGAGAAGAGAAACAGTAGAATACTAGTCAGTACCAGTGTGCAAAAGTGTATTTGCTTTGGAAATATAAATCGCCTCTAATGTTGGGTGTCCTACATGTGTGGATGTTGCTGCGTTATATAAAACCATTAGAATAGTTTTTCACATTTTAGAACGGAGTGCCCTTTTGGAATTATGGACAGTCTTAAAGCACCCCATTTTAGAACGGGGTGCCTTAAGACCAGGGGCGGACTGACAACTCATGGGGCCCCTGGGCAATAGGGGATCATGGGGCACCTGTGTCCTTGCCCAAACTCAAAAAAGCCTAGGAAAAAGGTACCAGGGGCATCTCATGGGGCACCCTACTGACCCCGGGCCCTCGGGCAGTGCCCGAATTTCCAAATGGTCAGTCAGCCCCTGCTCAAGACTGTCCACAATTTTAAAGGGTGCCTCTGGACTGTCCAAAATTTTAAAGGGTGCCTCAAGACTGTCCAAAATTTTAAAGGGTGCCTCAAGACTGTCCAAAATTTTAAAGGGAACCTCAAGACTGTCCATAATTTTAAAGGGTGCCTCTGGACTGTCCAAAATTTAAAGGGTGCCTCAAGACTGTTCATAATTTTAAAAGGGTGCCTTGGGACTGTCCATAATTTTAAAGGGAGCCTCAAGACTGTCCATAATTTTAAAGGGTGCCTTGGGACTGTCCATAATTTTAAAGGGTGCCTCAAAATTATGGACAGTCTTGAGGCACCCTTTAAAAATTATGGACAGTCTTGAGGCACCCTTTAAAATTATGGACAGTCTTGAGGCACCCTTTAAAATTATAGAGAGTCTTGAGGTCAAGGTCAAACCTATTTTTAGGTAGACCACTCTGGACTGTAACTTTCATTTTTCACTTTAAACCTTTGTTTAGATGTCTAGATCAGTGTCTCTCAACCTGTTTCAGTCAAGGCTCCCTTTAAAAATCCCGAGGCACTCTTTAACATTTTGGACAGTCCCGAGGCACCCTTTAAAATTTTGGACAGTCCCGAGGCACCCTTTAAAATTTTGGACAGTCTTGAGACACCCTTTAAAATTTTGGACAGTCCCAAGGCACTCTTTAAAATTATGGACAGTCCCAATGCACCCTTTAATATTATGGACAGTCTTGAGGCACCCTTTAAAATTATGGAAAGTTTTGAGGCACCCTTTAAAATTTTGGACAGTTCCGAGCCACCCTTTAAAATTATGGACAGTCCCGAGGCCCTTTAAAATTATGGACAGTCTTGAGGCACCCTTTAAAATTATGGACAGTCTTGTCCATAAAGAGAAGGAAAGGATGAGGAGAAGAGGAAGTAGAATTGTTAACTGACAATGAAGATGTGGTGGGATAGGTAGGATGACAACCAGTGAAGAGTACAGTCGCGAAGACCAAAGGAGTTTTTTTGAGGAGGAGGGAGTGGCCCACTGTGTCAAAGGCAGCAAGTACAGAATTAACATGTAAGGAAGAAAAAGGATTAACATCAAGGGTCCTATGTCTGAGATTTCTCTGTATGGAATGAGATGTGAAATTTACAAAAGATTATTATCATTTTCTAGAACCAGAGGCGGTGTTCACCAATCTGGACAAGGTGCAGAAAGAGGTCCAAGTCAAACTGTCAGAGAAGGCCAAACTAAACTGTGAGGTGTCCCAGGAAAAGACGGAGGTGAAGTGGTACAAGGATGGGAAACTGATTACCTCCAGCAAGAAACTGAAGGTGGAGTCTGAGGGTAGATCTCGGCGTCTGGTGGTGGAGCAGGTGGAGAAAAAAGATGTCGGAGAATATATCTGTGAGGCTGCTGGACAGAAGATCAGCTTCAAGGTCAACATAAAAGGTGAGATTCATTTTTCCTGTCTCTTAAAGGATGTTGAGTTGCAAGAAGGTGGGTAAATTAGATGTTGATGGACAGATGCATCATACAAGTGCATTGAGTTTGCATTTGAGGTCAGATCAAGATGTTTCCATTTGAGTGCCTTCATAGGTTCTTCTAACCTGCAGCTGACTTTTTTTTTAATTTCCATCAAACATGCTTTTGCATTCCTATTGACTTTGCAAGGAAAGACATGCAGCTCTAACCGAAAGCCCATGTACATAGGCCCCTAGAGGTTCAATTGCTAACCAGAAATCTGCTGTATATGCGAACTGTGGGGACATCTCTTCTTGAAATGTTGGTTCCCTGGCTAATATTCTGACCTTCTTGATTCAGTACTTGGAGTCACTGGTCTGGAAGAACTAAGAAGTTGAGGAATATTTTTCTCTCAGATTTTGCTGATCTGCCTACTATGTCTGGATGAGGAACTCTATGAATTTTCTAGAATTCCTATTCTATGAATAATTTTAAGATTCTAATTTGAGGAAACACTTGGAAAACCTAAGGGTTAGCACAACAGCCAGAAAATCTGATTTTCAGGAGGTTACTGTTGGCCACCCCTTTATTTTTCTCACTAACTGTAACATGAACCTGTACCTAATTTTTTCAGTTCATACTTTTGGGTCATCCTTATCCCGGCTTTCTAGAAAGTCCCTGACAGCCAGTAAAGGCCTAACTCCAGTCCTTCATTCTAGTTCTGGAGTCAGTGACTCATTTGGCAGTGAAAATCAATAGGATGATGTTGGCCCCCGTGTTCGTATCTTTAAAAACGTCTTCAGCTGCAGTTTCTATATTTGGACCTCAGAAGTTCACTTACCCATTTTAAGACCTTTGACTTACCTTGTACACCTAGAGCCTCCCCTCCCACTGCATACCCAATATAATTGCAAGGGTTCGAATATCGTTTGCTATCCAGGTCACACTCTGAGTACTTAAAAAGCAAATGAAAAATGTAAAAAAATCTAGGACTTGCAAAAGTCTAGGGTTTATACTCACCTGTCCTGCAGCATGCTCCTCCATTTTTCACGGCCAGTTCACGTGTCTAGTGCTCCCCTGTTCTCTGTGGTTCCTCCTGCCGGCTTCTGCATCACTACAGGACACATTAGTGACATAGGGAGTCAGGAAAAGCAACCATAGCATGTGGCAGGAGGACACAGGCATCTAAATTGAAAACGCTGTTCACTTGGTAATCCGATGGCGCCATCAATGATTTAGAAAATTGCCCGACCAAGTCATAAAGTTCACCCCATATAACAGGCGAAACTTCTGTTCCTTCTAGGTCACAGCATATTCTTTTCTGAAAAATTATCGTACTATTTGACCATCATTGAGTTGCAAATTGGTCGTTTTTCATGAATTTTCCAACATGCCCGATCACCGAAAAGGGGAGGAATTACGAAAATCGGCCGGTGCCAATGACCCACTAACTGAGCGAAAATCGTCCGGTGCCATTGACTCACTAACAGAGCGAAAATCGGCCGGTGCCATTGACCCACTAACAGAGCGAAAATCGTCTGGTGCCATTGACCCCACTAACTGACTGAAAATCGTCGTCCGGTGCCATTGACCCCACTAACAGAGCAAAAATCGGCCAGTGCCATTGACCCACTAACAGAGCGAAAATCGGCCAGTGCCATTGACCCACTAACAGAGCTAAAATCGTCTGGTGCCATTGACCCCACTAACTGACGAAAATCGTCCGGTGCCATTGACCCACTAACAGAGCGAAAATCGGCCGGTGCCATTGACCCCACTAACAGAGCGAAAATCGTCCTGTGCCATTGACCCACTAACTGAGCGAAAATCGGCCGGTGCCATTGACCCACTAACTGAGCGAAAATCGTCCGGTGCCATTGACCCACTAACAGAGCGAAAGTCGGCCGGTGCCATTGACCCACTAACAGAGCAAAAATCGTCCGGTGCCATTGACCCACTAACAGAGCGAAAGTCGGCCGGTGCCATTGACCCACTAACAGAGCAAAAATCGTCCGGTGCCATTGACCCACTAACAGAGCGAAAATCGGCCGGGTGCCATTGACCCACTAACAGAGCGAAAATCGTCCGATTATTCTTAGGTCCGATTTTCAGACAAAAAAAATCGGTCGAATTTCGACCCATGTATGGCCGGCATAAGTATAACTCTTCTCCTCTGCAGATCCTGCTTTACAGCAACAGAGCCACTTTAAAGCGGCTCCTGCGTGAATGAAGCATGCAAACTCTGGTTGCAAGCTTCATTCATTATTACATTGTAACAGATATATTATAATGCGTTTTCACTGCGTATGCACCAATCGGTAAGTTGAAGAGGTTGGCGCTGATTAGTGACTTTTACAGAAAAGGTCAATATTTTTATACAATCCATTCCACCGCAGGGTTTTCACGGAAGGTTATCGCTGGCTTTCACCCTCGTATGCTCACCTTGAATTGCCCACGTTGATTGTGACAGGTTCTCTTTAAGTACTTTTTTTTACTATAAGTCACCTTTGTAGTTTGTAGTGTTGCTGTTGATGGTGTTGTCTGGATCAGCAGTATTATGTGTCACACATCCGCAGTGGTAGGGGCATTCCTGATCCGTAATCCACCTGTAATGTGAGCCGTCCATAAAAGTCAGCCAGGATTAACAGCTTTCATTCGGCCCTCCAATTACTAGTTTACATCTTTATAGACAGTGGGGCGTCACAGGCGTCCATTTACCTGGCAACAGCTGCGGTTGTCGGTGCCGCAATTTCATTGGCGATTTTCATGGGTGTAAGAAAATCCGCTTCTGTTACCGACTTCTCATACCCAACTATCCTGGCCCCTCTCATGACCCACGAATGCCCAACGGATTATGAAATGGTTGATCGGGAATTAGAATTCCATTTTGATCCGTAGTTAGAAAGGTTGAATAAAGACGCAAGTCCACCCAGTTTAACCCATATGGGTGTGCTCATGTCAAAAACTCATATCCCTGTATGTTGTGTTCACTAAGATGCCCATCCAAAAAGGTGTTTTTTTTTTTTTAACCACTTGCCTACCGGGCACTCTCACCCCCTTCCTGCTCAGGCCAATTTTCAGCTTTCAGCGCTGTCGCACTTTGAATTACAATTACGCGGTCATGCAGAACTGTACCCATATGAAATTTTTTATCATTTTTTTTTAGACAGATAGAGCTTTCTTTTGGTGGTATTTAATCACCTCGGGGTTTTTCATTTTTTGATAAACGAACCAAAAACAACTGAAGATTTTGAAAAAAAAAGTTTTTTTTCTTAGTTTCTGTTTTAAAATTTTGTAAATGAGTAATTTTTCTCCTTCAATGATGTGCGCTAATGAGGCTGCAGTGATAGGCACTGATAGGAGGCACTGATGGGCACTGATGAGGAGGCACTGGTAGGTGGCACTGATAGGAGGCACTGATGGGCACTGGAGGAGGCACTGGTAGGTGGCACTGATGGGCATTCACAGACATTACTGATGGGCACCAAAAGGAAGTACTCATATATGGCACTGATAGGCGACACAGATAGGCGGCACTGACTGGCACTGAGACGCGGCACTGACTGGCACTGAGAGGCCAGATGGCACTGATTGGCAACACTCATAGGCGGCACTGACTGGCACTGATAGTTGGCACTGAAAGGCAGCTCAGATGGGCACTAATATGTGGCATTGATATGCACTGATGGACATTGACAGGTGGCAATCGATGGGCAATGACAGGTGGCATTGATGGACACTAACAGGTGGCACTGATGATCAGTGTAGATGTCCCCTCTGAGGAATGCCAATTACCAGCTCTCCTCTCTTCTACTCTGTCAGCGTGACAGCTCGTGGGGAGAGAAATGCCGATAACCAGCATTTCCCTGTTTACATGCGATCAGCTGTGATTGGACACAGCTGAGCACACAACAGAGCCGAAGTCACCGTCTCTTTCCGTTGATCGTTGATCTGCTGTGTCCCAAAGACACAGCACACCACTGATCGCCGTGCTGCACCCCCGGGGGCGCGCACACGCGATTAGAG